CCCCCGCGCCTCGGGGGCCCCGGGCGGGCCGGGACCTGCGCCCGTTGGGGGGGAAGGCGGGGGGAGCCTGACCGACCTGAAAGCCATTACTGTCAGAACAAATGAATGTAAAGTAATTGCTGAAATACCAAGGGGTCCCCTCAGGGAAAAAAAGAGACGGGCAGTGCGGAAGCTACTTTTTAAACTACCTCCATTTCCTCAGCTACATCTCACCCAGACCAAAGCAAGTTATTTCCCGGTGCTAACCCCCTCTCCCAAAGCCCACGCAGAGAAGGCCCAGTTGGTGACAGGAGCTAGGAACTTCCACAGCCGTGCCGCGCTGCTTCCGCTGGGTGACTTTTGTGTAAAAAGGGGATAAACCAAACTTCAATCGCAATGGCAACACCGATTTTATTTTTTGAAATCCTTCGTTCTAAGTAACTCTTGCTTGCAAAACTCAGCCCCGTAAACGCCGGGTCTCTAATGATTGTATAAAGCCGCTCCATTTCCACAGGCCGCGGCTCTACATTAGCGATAGGCTCTGTGTCCCTAAGGGGTCCTGTGGTACTGCTGAGGGGGGAAAAAATAAAAACGGGCATTCGGATACACAGCATTCCCATGGAAACAAGACTGCAGAATGCAAACAGAGCACATATACAGAAAAATAACAAATCTTTAGGATACATTATCATCCGATACTAAATTATGAAAGACCAAGAAATGTTAGTAACCTTGTTTCTCAATAAAAGTAGGTAGCTTATAACATTTAAGCTCCCCCGTTTAATAAAACCACAGCTGTTTGAAAGTTTTCTATACAAAACCCCAAGCCGCACAACTGTGGAGCTGCAACAGGAAAACGATTTCTCCATCTGACTTGGTTCATATTCTACATTCTAGTAAGCTTTCAGAAACACTAAATTTATTCTCAAACTGGACAGCAAAACTATTCCTAATAACCTAAAATCCGTAACATCAACCTTTCAATACCAAAGTTGAGCCAAGCTATTTGCATAGATATATTTATTCTTAGCTTTTAATACTGCCAAAAAAAAAATTTTTGAACTTAAACATTTGAACAATGAAGTATTTAAAACCAGGTAACATCATAGGAAAAACGAGTTTAATACCACTGGATGTATTTTGGGATAAAATATTTTAAAGTTTTAAAATATAACAAAAATATGATAAAACTATGGAATTAATAATCATAAAGGCTGTAGAACAGTTTTTTGAGGTGAACCCAGGTAAACCCATTTACTGAGACAAAACCACCAATGCAACAGAAGTGTAGGAAGACAATTCCTTATGGTATAGGTATGAAATACTTGCTTAAAAGGGAAGGACATAAAACATTTAAATAGATTTATTTTTCAAGTGTTTACATAAGCCATGGACCAATTTGTTTTAAACGTTGAGTTAAAGGACTGCAAAGACATAGATACAGGTATGTTTAAGGCCATCAGAAAATTTAAATCTGACAATTAACTAAAAGGTAATTCTGAAGACTTATTTTATATGGTAGAAGCATTACTAAAATTTATTCTAAAATCGCATAGCTTCAAGAAAGGAAATACATTTTCATTTAATGAAAGTCTAGTGGATAATTACTAAAAATGTATCTTGATACCAAAATTTCAGGTGTACTCCTGATCCACTACTGAGTATTTGAGCACATTTTATAGAAAAGGAGAAATTGGCCACCATAGTTGGAACTGAGCTAGTTGCACCCATCTGATTATTTGATGAACATCAGAAAATGTGTGTGTGTGGGGGGGGGGGGGGGGGGGGAGAGGGGGAACAGAACCTAGCTTTTAAAATTAATGGGTTAATAACTGCAGCAAGAGCTAACACAGATATATTTAATACAGGACAAGATGTCAAGTTAGGCTGAAGTTCTCTTAAGCACTGCTCAAACTGGCTTTAGGATGTGGATTTCAGAAAACGGATTTCCTTCCCTCCATTAAGGCTAGATCTACAGAGCCACAAATAATTTCAATTGCATTATATTCAAAAAACCTAAGTGGTTAATAGAATAGCACCTCTTCCCTTCAATAAACCCTTCAGAAAATGAGTTTCGCATCAGAAACTGCCATACCACAACAAAAATTAAACAACGCCCAGTTTTTGAAACCCTTTCGGAAGAGAGGCAGAAACCCAAGATGCTTAAGTCTTCCTAGAAGTGTATGAGGGTCAGGGGGTTGCTTTCACACAGAGGAAGAGACACTTAAGTTTCTTTAACAGTCTACTACAGTGTAGATGTCTTCTTTCCTTTCAAGATTAGATGATTTCAATGCAATATCACATCTTAAGCAGCCAGGTGCAGTGGTTCTCAAAAGCATGGAACCTTTCCTCTTGGAAAATGTACCGGCTGGGATGAGAAACATCTGGCTGTAAAAGCAAGCAGTATTTGCAAACTGGGAAGTTTGAAGGACCTTCCCCATCTCCCTCTCACCAGAAAAACAAATCAGCCAAACAGAAACACATTATAATTTAAGCAATTAGCCTTCTTCATGACTATCAGATATGCTAATCTGATGTAAAATAAGGGCATTTCCCCAAAGCTCATGTTAGGTTCTGCCACTGATTCTACGACAGCCAAGATCAGTATGAGACCAAATGCTCAGATGCTGATGTGATGGAACAAAGACATTTTAACAATCTTTTCTAATTTAGAGAAAACCAGAATTAGAAGGAAATGACACAATTTTGCAATGTTTGAGTTTCCAGTACATTTCCAGACAACAACCATATTTAAGCCCAGATTTAACTAAGTAAATAATCTTGTAAGTTCAAAAGGAAAATTTTGTTTGGGATCATTTCCTGCTTGCTCTTCAGATGAGGCACTGATTTTTCTCAGTCCATCAGTGGTGAAGAACACCTACCCACCCCATCTGTAGAACTCACTCAGTGCCAGCTCAAGCAATTAAAACCCCAAGTCCTATCCCTATTCAATGCAGATGGGGTACTGTAAGAACAGGCACACAGATTTGAAAGACTAAAACATAGGCTAATTCCAGCTATAAATTTGTATCTTCATGTATCTCTTTTGCTACTTTGCATACACTTTCATCAAGAACAGTTTTGCATGAGCAAGAGGGATGATCTTTATTTTTCCAGAGGTGACCGGCAGCCTCATTAATGGGGCTGGTTAATGAGCAGTGTTCTCATGCCCCTTTGCATCCTACAGGAGACTTGGGATGGGAGAAAACTGAAGAATACAGCACAATTTTGTCCGCTAAGCCCAGCCACTTCTATCTCAGATGCGCATTTACAATGAACAGTTCTTGCAAAAAAGAGGTTGAAGTCAACTACTTGGCTTCAGCAACGCCAGAACTTAAAAAAAAAAAGAACAGGAGGGTCAAGAGTTTTCTGACCAGTTTTGACTCTTAATTCTGCTGGACCACAAAGATTTTGTCCTGTTTGCTTTTAATCATATGAAGTTTAGCAGCTTTTTTTCAGTATCATTTATCTTCTCAGTAACTTTTCTCTCTCCAAAGTAGCTACTCAAATGTCAGTGGGGGAAAGGAGGAAGCTCAGTCCATTCTCCGAAGACACGTATCAAGGTAACCTGCACCTCGATCAAAGAATCTGCCTGCCTAACAAATAAAAGTCATCAGGACATTTTGAGAAGCCACATTTTTAAGGTCACAAAGTTCTCAGAGTTACGAAGTCCCAGCAGAACACATTAAGAGGTTGTTAATGAGAAGTCAGCATTACTCTTCCAACTACTCTGAATGATGTTATGTGTTAGAGATTGCTATACACAAAAGACAGTATCTTGGAAAGAAAACAGGGGTTGAGTGAAGTCTAGAATTCCCTCCACAGCAGTATCTGCAAGTTGTATTGAACTGTTCTTAAAAAGACAGCCTGTATACAGGAAGAACATCGAAGTGAAACGAAGGACAACATTGACCTTAAGTATGAGACAATAGCTCATGATTTCAGAGTTAAAGTACTTAAGTTGTAGGATGTCTAGGAAGGATCCAAATTTCCCAGACACAGTAACATTAGGTAGAAACATCTGGAAATTTGAGTGATTTTGTAAATTACTCAAGAATCCTTGTATTACAGCTGATGGAAGCAGGATGCTGAAGCTAGAAGTTTGTTCTCAAACACATATGTGTATCTTATTGCAGCCTAGCAATATTAGATAATGAAGCCCCTACCAAAATAAAAATCTCTATCTCCTCATAGTAGCTGCATATGCAAGGCAGCAGTCATAACTAGTCTGCTATGCTCCCAAAAGACTCATTAACAGATCGAGTAAAACCACCAAAGAGTGCAGCTGATGTGTCTACGTACAGGCTCAGAAGTAGCACTTTGTTAGGCTCACTCGCAGCTTCCAACCACAGGCATCAGGCCCAAGCAAATCCTAAAGCAGCACCTAACCAGAACAAATGCAGCTCACCCCCTGGCATCCCAAAAGGGCTCCAAGACAGAACCAGCCTGGACTACCGCTGTTTCCCCTCAACGCAATCACCTCTTACAACTGCCTTTGTTCAAAATACAACCTTTTTCAAAAGACATATCTAGCAGCACTTGTGATCTGGACATAACTCAGATCTAGAGCTTAAAAGCTCCCCCGGACAGGCCAGAAAAACCAGTTAGTGGATCTATGTGCCATACTGGGACTCAAGCCAATTTTCCAGTATACTGTTTATTAGACAGATGTATTGAGATCAAGAGTCAGTGCAAATTCCCAGATTAAACACATCTTATGTATTTTTGAGGGTTGTTATTGTTATAACACATCTCCCTCTATCAGCATACAGCAGAGCAGCTAATCTAAAGACCATTTTCATACATGAAAAGGCTTACAAAGTTGTATCTCAATTAAGAGGCCTCTCAACTACCCAATGTTTTATTAATAAATTTAAGTTAAAAAAACCCCAACAACCCCCAAACCTGAAGTGGAATGTTCTGATCCATTCAGCGGTCTTTAATTCAGTATGCTGCAAGTTTACTGTCAAATTACAATTAGCTATTTAAGAAGCATTTGGTGTGCAATGAAAAAAGCTGAGTAGCTTGTGTTCTACCAACCACTTAGAAAGCCAATGAACAAAAAATGTAATTAAAAAAAATTCACCGTTTTCCTACATCAGTTCAACATTAAAAGGTTTGTCTTTTTATTTTTTTTTCCAGTTAAAAAACAGTTGGGACTATTATCTCAGTAATAGCTTCCTAAAAAAAAAGACAGAACAGCAACTTCTCACTGGACTGCAGTTGATATTGTTATACTGGTACGGAATGTTTCTAAGCCTTGACTAAAACTGCTGCTTCTAGCCATCAGCATCGTCTCAAGATGTCTGGTGTGTAGTATCTTCTTCACAAGCTTATCACTTCTCTCAGTAAAAACATTTCTCAGTTTTGCTCTTCACGCAGAACACGGAGAAGTGATATATATTACCACCTATTCATACGGAGTTTCAGATTATTTCACAATGAAGTCAAAATATCTGACTACAAGTCCTGAAAGTTCAGTTGTGATACAAAGTAGAAATGACCCTCCAAGTGAAAACAACCTTCAGTTTTGTATATAACAGTTAAACAACGCGTAGCTGTTCCTTAATTTCACCTTTCCACAGGTAGGAATTCTTTGATGAGCAATACTTAACATATATAGCACATTTCTTCTTGCACGTGCTATAGAACACAACAGAACTACCAACACCTCTATGGAGGCAGCTATCAATATATTCTCCCCACTGCAGAGAGAGTGCATGTGCGCAAAAGGTAGGCACAAGTGATTTTTCAAAGATTATACCACAAGTATGCAGTAAAACTTGAATAAGACTTGGTATTTTCCAGCTCCTAGTCTTATGCCATTTCTTTTATACATTGCTGCCTTGATGAAAAGGAAAGTCCATTAAAAGAAAAGTTTCCCAGAAGAAGTCACAGCTATTGGAATAAAATCAGAAAAACAGGAGGAGGGTTTGCATCTATTTGGGAAAAAGAGAATCTATCAGGGGAAAAAAAAACCCACAAACCAACAACAACCAACCTTATGAAACGTCACCCCGTTACATTAAATTTGTTTCAGTCGTTGAAAACCAGTGTTCCAGGATACAATTTTTATAAACATGTTTTATTTGTCTTGCTTATACCATTAGAACTGTAACTGCTGGCTGTCATTTCCCTTAAAAGGGGAAATCAATTCAAACACATACTGGTGCTTTTCAAAAGATAGCAATTAAAAGGGCAGCAGCAGCGGGCATTTGAGATTTCTTAAAACCTTCAAGGCTGCAGGAAAGACAAAAGGACATGTGACCAAAAGTGTTATGATTATCCATTAAGAGATTTCCATCAGTACCGGCATCAGTTATTTAGGTGAAAATACAGCAAGGTCAAGTATTAGTGACAGACAATGTGCAAGTCATAAGGAATGATAGAGAATACCAATCCTTACAAAAGTCATTGCTATCAAAGAAACTTAAAGTGTTTCAAAGAGATCTCTAAATACTTCACATCAAATATACAGTGGCCATTCAGGTTATATCTCACATTTGTTGCAAAATTTTGTTGAAGTGCCAAATCAAAGCTTTTTTTTTTCTGCTTTTTTTTTTTTAAAAAAAATTACACAATTACATTAGCAGTTATGCAAGCGATCTTAAATCCTTAGCCACAGTTAACAGGGACCTGGTCATGAGGAGTGCTGTAGCTAAGGGTGCTGCTTCTTTGTCAAAAATTGGCTATAAGCCTATTTGTCTATTTAGGGAAATATGCATCACTACACATCTTTAAACTGTTCAGTGCTTCAATTTAATAAGAAAAAGCTGAAATGCAGTTGCTCTATCAAGCCACACTTCACCTTTTCCATCCTTTCATGGGAACATTAAGTTTTGTCAACTGCCACCACAGTAAATCTTTACGAATTTGCAGATTTTATCCAAATTTGTTACATCGCTTTTATATGTTAGAAGTGAGTCTTTGCTTTTTCCTGCCACTTCAGTTAACCATTGAGATTGGATCACCCTGAAAATTGCCTTTTTTGCTTTACTCTTAGCAAGGGTGAGGAATCTGAATCTCATGTGCAAGGCTCAAGATGATGCTTAGGACAGAACATGCAGAGTAAACGTTGTTTCGTTCCTTTCCATATCCAGGTAATATAAAGCTGGCAACTGTAGTCCTGTCATTATGGGTAATGAAAATAGTCCCTTTACAACAAACTTCCTGTAAGGGAGAACAAATAGATGATAACTCTTCTGGTAACATGTATAGTACACTGGCCAGTGTGTTTTTGGCGTTTAATGTAATCCTGTGAATTTGCTTAATTCACTTGCTGAGCATTCATTTGAGGCATCCCTCTGTTTGGTCTTGGGGGCCCTCCGCGACCTAGAAAACATATAAAAAGGCACTTGAATTATGCATTAAGTCAGGTTATTTTAAAAAAGTTCCTAAAAGCTCCGGTCTAAACTGGGTAAGAATTCTCAGGTGTATTAACTAGACTATATAAAGCTCTAAAAGCTCCTTCAAATCAAAACTCAACAGCACATAACCTGTCCTTAGTTTTCAGCTCTATGCCAGTATTTTTCCCCCGAACTACAAAGCTGTAATCACTTCAATTAAAAATGTAAAAGGAAAAAAAAAATCATGAAGATATGAATGCAAGGCTAAAATTAAACGTTTTGCAGTAATGTAATGAATAATTGGTTTACAATATTTTAAATACAAGTACTGTGAGCTAACTAATCAGGTACTAACTCCCATTCTTCTCTTCCTTAAGAAAGAGACTGCCTGTAGCTCACACTCTCAGTATATGAGATTTGTAGGTCACTTGGGAAACCCCTCTCATGTTTGCCTGAATATCCCTGACAACGAACCTCAAGACTTTTAGTCTTCATTATAGTTGTGCTTCCTAAAACATGCTGCCAGTGTCACCACAGCCTAATACTAGGTCGAACTTCAGGCCCCAGTTTCACACTACAGGTCTTTCAGTACCAGGACAGTCAAGGACAGAAGTCAAAACCAAACTACCACTCAGAACTGTGGTTTCACAGACAGTGCAACGTACAGCCTCGAGCTGTCCTCACTGACAAGACACTCTGGTGGTAACTCAATATTTTCATCGAAATGGCTGTATCAAGACAGAGGACAGCCTCATCGCCAAAAATCTACTAAAAGAACAACTGTGGAAGTAGTGCTGAAAATAACATTTACAATTTCAACTACAGCCTCATTATATATGCGGGGGTTTTTGTTTCATTTTGTTTTTGCAGATGAACATGGGGCAAGCGCTCACACGAAGCTACAGGACAACACATCTCCATAAGCTAAAAGCCACAGCTCTATAGGATCAAGAAACAGACAAGCATGAAGGGAAGTTTTGTATCCTTAGATCAAGAGAGACCTCCAGAACAGATGCAGTAAGACATCTTTTAGTGCAGAATAACATATAATTTTGAAGGCTGACCGCCAGCTCAAGCCTGATGTCTGCCTTATAAGCACGTCTTGCCTGCAAGCTACTAATGCACCTAGTAAGCAGATCTTAAGTCATGATGAACCTCACAAAAACAAAAAAAATCACTTTCCAACAGCTTTCATTAATAAAAGGCAACTAAATAGTTCTGCTACATTTAAAGTGTCAAAAGCAATTGTTGTTTTCTTCTTTTCAGAGAATCCTCATTCAATGGCAAACTGAACTTCCATCACAAGTTCAAAGGATCACAGTACAATTCAAGTCAGAAGGGATCTCAAGAGGTCCTCCAAGTCCAACCCCTGTTCAAAACCATGAGGTCAGAGGAAAGTAAGTTTATTCTTCAACTGTGACCTGCTGAATGAGGAGTGAGGTTGCTTTTTAAAGCCAAACTCCAGAAGTTGGACCAAAAAGCTTCCATTCGGCCCAAATAAATTATTTGATACTCAGGAATTACCTCTAGGAGCTCCACGAGGTCCATTTTGTCCAGAGCCACGTTTGAAATTCTGTTGATATCCATCCTGAAGCAAAGAAATGAAAAAAAGTTACAAAACCTGGGCATTTTGTTATGTTTCAGGAAGCTATTAATTGCCAATAAAATAAGAAGCTTTTAAAACAATATGCGATGATAAACACCTTTAACTTCAACATATAGCATTTTACCAGTGTAATTTAATCTTTGAAAAAAAATTCTTACTCCTAACTAGAACCTAGCAGGTATAATAAAACATACAGTGACTAATTCTCTCTTCAGTTACAGGATATGTTGTTCAATATAAATAAGAAATGTACATAGATATATTTAATGTTCAAATTTTTCAAACGACACAGAGGTCCAACAGATGAATTTGCTGAAGGACCCATCAACAAATGAAGTGACATTCTAATGGCAGGATCAAAATCTATCACCTCATTTGCTTATAAACACTTGTTTGGGGATATGCAGAGTTAGACATTTTCCAGTCAGTCTCAGCTTTCAGCAAACTGAACATACTTCTTCAGAAACTCTAGGCAAATTTCAGAGTAACATCAACATTGCAGAAGGCACGCAATCCCCAAAAAGTTTGAAGTTAAATTCAACAGATTTAAGTTCTTCTTTAAATTTCTTTCTGACAAAGCTGTGAAAATAATTACATTTAAGAATCAGTTCTTTATAATCTTTATAATTCAACCTTGCTGTAGTTACTAGACTAATTCTTTTAGAGATCAATCAGCCAAACAGGACATGTTTCCCAATTATAACCAGCCACTTAATATTCTGCTATTTATAAACATCTGTTTAGAACCTGAAAATTTTGTCTTCGTTAGCAATGAAAAGAAGTCCTCAGAAAAGTTTTCACTGATAGATTTATTTTAGTGCTTTTCTTGGCAGGTACTTTTTTATTCTACTTCTAGACTGCCACAACATAACAGTAGCTTACCCGCTGGTAGTTTGAATAATCCCGGGGAGCATTAAATTGGGGCTGCGTGTAACCACTGTTTGGAGTGTTGGAAAAGGAAGGACGGTAGCCATCATATCCTCCTAAGGAACAGGGTACAAGTCTTTCACTTGGAAATGATAGCCTATTACTTTATGCTACCATATAAAGAAAAGCAGTAAGAGCATTTTACCTAAACTCAAGGAAAAATACCCCTTTAGTAAGTACCATTTACCTGCAAATCAAGCAAATGTTTGCAACATCAGTGCTAATACTATTACAAGAAACCAGAATGAAGACCTAGTAAGAACCAGGAGGAGATTGCAATTCAATGCAGTTCTCTAGTAATTTGAAGTTTGATTTATATAACATTCAATCCAGAACTAATCCTAATACCAGGATCTAGATGTAACAGCTGTTACATTCCAGGCCACAACAGCCAACTCAAGCAAGAAGTTGCTCCCGAGCCAAGGCTGTCCTGAGTGCTGGGAACCATGTCCAAAGATGGCTCCAGTCCCAAGGGTCTAACACTGGGAATCCAGATCAGTTTTAAGCAGGCAAGAAGTGACCACTGCATTCCCTACTACAATCAGTTTTATTTTTATTATACACATTTCTCCTCTACTCTCCAACCACAAGAGGAAGAGAATGGGGCAAAAAACCCACAGTACCATATCCATTAGTCTAATTCCCTAATACCTGACAAGGAAACAGTCTCTCTCCCCCATTCTAACATACCCATCTTCATAACATTGACAGCCACATATATCACCTCCAGGAACAAAGGAAGTTCTCATATTTATCCAGAACTACAGTATCATTCCTCTGCTCCTGGTAATTCCCTCAGAGTAGTAACTTTTGGACTTTTTTGTTCTTATATTTCTACATTATCCAAACTACTCTCAATATGATGAAACATGGAACTCTTTAGAATACTCTGCTTCTACCATAACTGGAAATAAAAAACATTTTTGAAATACCAATTGGCATCTGAATTCCTCACTTGATGGTTGTGAAATTCTGTTGGATAAAACAGAAAAAATGCTTCTTCGCTTACATCCTAGTAGGAAGCCTCATCAAACACCTAAAAATTCAGTTGCTTGTTAGCTGAAGCAAAGGGAAATTTTACTACAAGTTTAAATACCTTACAGAGATACCACTACAGCACAAAAACAACAGTAGGTGAGTTTAACCCTTGGTATCCCAACACAGTGTTTCTAGAAAGTAGTAAGTAAAAGTCAAATGACAAGAGTTTAATGAAGCTGTTTACCTCTAAATCCATTCGCCGGTCCCCTGTAACCATTCATTAAGCCACGAGCCCCACGTGATCCACCACGAGACACTCCTCGACTGTTATAGTAAGGCTGACTGTTGCGTGGAAAGCCAGTATTCTGTTGGGGAGGTTGCTGGTGGTTACCCGCCACTTGATGAGTCTGGTCCGGGGAACCATGGTAAGTACCAACCACTACATTGGAAGTGGAGAGAAAAAATGAAGTATAAAAGTCTACATTTGTTTATTTATGTTCCCATGTATGCCCTCTCCAAACTCAACATTCAAAGCTCTGAAATACCATTGAACACATCAATAAATGCTCACCAATTCAAAGAAAAATAATCTGCAGCATTAAGCGTCAAGTTTACTAGTCAGATATCCCACAATATTAAAACAACTCAGAAACAGCAGAGTCAATTAAAGTCGGGTGTCAAGAAGTCTCTAGTTTAAGTTCAACGAGTATTCCTTATGTAGGTACAATTCTCCTGTGCTATTTCAAACTCTTTAAAATTTAATCAGCAACATACACTCTGGAAAAAACAGTATGAATAAGTTAACCCACTTCTGTAACTTCATCCCCTCTGAACTGGCAGAGAGCCTCTAAGAAATCTTGGCTTTCACTTTAACTAAATCCTCTCTCTTAGGTCTAGCTGTGCTGACTAAGGTGAGATCGATGGGAACTTTTTAACAGAGCTGCCGTTTTGGCTGTACGGGCTGGGGGAACCTTTCTTCACACAGTACATGTAAATCAAAAAGCCAGAGCAGGATGGATAGCTTGAGACTATCTGCATCTTTGAAGTAAGACTGCCACGTGAAGTAAGGTATGCCACGATATCTTCACAGGAATTGTCAGGAATTAAGTGGATTACAAAAGCAATCCAAGGGCTATAAGCTCAGTAAGTGTAATAAAAGATAGAATTCTGTATGTAAGAGCAAAATAGCTGTAAAATTTAGCCTAACACCAATTGCTGAAGCAAGACCTCAAAGAAAATTGTCAAGTGGTAAAGCCCCTCTCGTATGCAGGAGAGGAAGATTTCTCCATCATCCAGAGAGCACAACTTTATGTCTACTTCACTCAGCCACAGAGTGCTATGGAACTTTTTCACAGATCCTCCCTTCTCCTCAACTTCCCTATCAATTCTCATGGAATGCATGAAGTGGTCATCCTTTGAGTGTTTAATTAGTGTGCAGTTTTTGTTGTAAGGCCACTGCACTTTCTGTTGTAACAAGAGTTACATTTACTCAGTTGTTAATATTAAGCATTTAGTATTGCATGGCCCCCCTTCAACAACCATCCTTCCCAGATTGTCTTTCTGCCTTGCACTGCATATGGCTCAAAAACCATATAGACAGACAACAAAAAGTTGATTCTCCCTCTTCTCATTCACTCACCCCAGTATCCCAGCTTGCAAGGAAGACAAAATTAAAGATCATAATCAGTTACAGAGAAAAAAGACCAGCTCTTTTTCCTTACTCCACCTCTAGTGGTTGTTAGCACTGCACCCTTGTCAACTCTGTCCTGTGTTCTTCACTCAAAATCTCTCTTCTGCATCTGCAAATTTTATCTCAGTGGGAAGCGAGAAGAGTGCTGGGAGAAGAGTAGCTTTGTACACAGACTTTATTTTACTGTTGGTTATTTTTTTTTTTTTTGAAGTTGCTAACTTGGAAAGCGTTTTACCTCCTGTGTTCTTACCATGTCTAACTGATTTTAGCAAAAGGTTTTAGATCTCCATGAACCTTACATCATCTGTGACAAGCAGTCTATTTTGTTCTCAATTCTAGCCTCCTATTTCCTTTATAAAATGTCATCTCAAATAGTCCCTTTTTTTTTTTAAAGCAAATTTAAGGATCAGCCAACTTTAGTATCAGCAGAGCAAGCACTCTACTATACTGCTTTCATCTTTAGAATAATCCTCAATCGTGTTCATGTTTTTTTTAAATCCATATAAAGCTGAATCAAGTGAGAAAATTCTCTTAACAGTTGGAGACATGTATACTCAATTTCACCCCCAGACAGATAATCAAACAGAGACAGAAAAACAAAAACCAGGTACTGTTCCAGGGAAAGCTTTGCAAGACTAGGAACATTTAAGAATGTGACCTACTTTGCTACATCACCTATGACTTCACAGCCCGATCATCTGCTCTACTCAAGTTACTGCCATTTTAATTTTTGCTAAAATAAGTTTACCTGTCTGGAGTTGTTCTTGCTGAAGATCTGATTGTTCTACTTGGTGAGGCTGATTGGAGAAACTCTGGTTGTAACTGGCCTGGTACTGATTTTGCTGCTTAAGGGTTTCTGGCTCATTAACAGGAGGAACAGGTGCATTCATGTTGAATACCTGTAACATTAGAAAAACAGCTCTCTGGTCCCATTTATTTTTTACAATTCCTCCTTGCCTCATGTAAAGAAGTATGCGAGTCTGAGAAACATGAATAAACAAAGTCATGTAATTACATAATCATAGAATCATAGAATGTTTTGGGTGCGAAGGGACCCCAGAGGTCACCTAGTCCAACCCCCCCATTACATGACCAATTCCAGTATTTGTGTTAGAACACAAGGAATGACGACCAAAATAAAGGCATTCAACATTAAATTACTACTTACTGTTTGCATGGATTGGAATGGAGCTGCATTAACATTGATTCCGCTGCTATGCAAAGGTTTGCTAGATCCAGCCTGGAACACCTGTGGCTGGGACACAGTGGGAAGTGATGACGATGATGGGGTCTGGTCTGCATTCAGTGACATTGAAGCCTAATAATTAAAACAAACAACATTTTAGCAGCTTTTGAGTAATACCAAAAATTTAATTTAAAAATTTCACTTTAAAAAAGTGACAAAGCCTCAGGTTCACCTCAACAAATGAGTATTTTCTACTTCAGCTGAACAGCCTCATTCACAACAGCATAATGGGAGAGGAAAAACCTAGCAGTCTTCTTCCTCATTAACTTGAAACACAACTAGAAAAAAACTATTGGGGAAAATGAACAAGTTTCTGGGCTAAGTACTAGCCAATGTAAAAAAAAAAATCTATCACATTTCCTAAGCCAACAGCACTGATGCTCATACACTGATGTTGGCACGTTGCTTCTAACTTCAGTTACAAGTCTTACTGTGAAGGACTTACTGGTCCCAGACAGGCTCAAAATTTTGAAATTCAACAGAACTGAAGCAGCCCTATCAATAGGTAACTAAAAATTACAAAACTTTATTTACAGAGAAACACAGACTAACATTTAATCACACCTGCAAGCAGAGTCCTTCCCACCCCTGTGAAATCTGACTTGCCTGAATCTGGTCAATTGATTCTTTCTGTGGCCGTTGCTCTGTTGTGTGAGAAGGCTGATACATGGGTTGGGAGGCTGTATAACCCTCACTTGTAGAAGAAACCAGGGGAACCTGACAAAATAAATCCCAAAGCCCCCGAAAGTCAGCTGATGCTCACACATAGTTTTATAAAAATTATCAGAGAACTCTGGAATGAACGATACTCTCTAGTAAAAGTTATGTATCCCAGCAAATCTTTACAACCATTAAAAATTAAGTACTTTTTAACAAGTGGAGGTTTAACCACCTCATCTTGACATATACTCTAACATGACACACTACCCACCCTCCACCAGACTGTATTCTCCGAGTATTTCTGAATCAGTTGGACACATATTTGCCTTTACTGAAGAACACCCTTCTCCTCCTTTCCTTATGCAACCCCAACTACCATTACAATAAAGCTGGGGCAAGACAGACACAGAGAGAGAAATATATAGAAGTTTACATGAGAGAACTCCAAGCTCATACACAAAAAGAAAAGTGCTGGTTTCCAATGGACTGAATTTGCTCATTTTACAGCCTCTGCTCTTCTATACAGAGTCCAGTACTACTGCTTGCAAGATCCCCAAGGGAATTGTTGGCAGCACCAGTTGAGGTAAGGAAAATAAGAAAAAAAAAAAAAAAAAGAAAATCCATTGGAGTAAGTCACAGATATCATTTAACAGTAAAATGAAAGCTAGAGAGGACTCACTGCAAAAAAAATTGTTCTATACCTACAAAACAACAAAACCGATGAGTGTACTAGCACTTCAGCAGGTATGTACAGAGGAAACTCAAGAAAAACCCAACATGTTCCTGTTTCTATACAAATTAGTGACTTAAAACTTGTGGACCCAATCTGGAGAAGATAAAGCAAGCAATTTATACTACCATCACTCTGAGATACACTTTCTATCCCAATTTTTCTTTTGGTTTTCAAATGCCTGCAGAGATCAGATTCACAACTTGAGACCAGCAGAGTCCTTCAGAGATGCCACACGTGCTTAATACAGAATCAGGAAGTTCCTTAATCACTAGGCAATTCAGTAAGAAACTGATATATCTTAAATAAAAGGTGAATACATAATTTATACACTGCAAAAGCATGTTTAAAGAGATCCTACTTAAACAGAAACTGCATGAAAGCTCAACTTAAAACAGCATTCAAACTCATTCTGATTGCTCTACAACTCCAGTATTAAAATATCATTCAAGCAAGCAACCTGGACTCCTTAGCAGAACAAGTCAACAACATAAACTAAGTAGTTAATCCAATGAATCTGTTTGTGGTCTGATGCCCACTTGAACAGATACAGACTGCCCTTTAACCATGTTATTTTGGTTTGGGCATTTCTGTCATAAATAAGCAAATAAAGGACAACATGCTTCTATTTACCACACATGGTTTAACACGAAAGAGAACACTATCAGGCAAAGACTGACATGTCAGGTTAGCAGTCCATCTTGAGCAGAACACGGAGAGAAACCACAAGTTCAACTGCTATGTCAGGACTCCACAGAGCAGCATTCCAAAGTTCTTCCTCTCCATCATGAAAAAACCCACTTGAAATTTATGACTGTCACATGGGATACAGATTTTAAGTGACAGCAGCCTAACACACAAGCACATGCAAGTCAATTTCTGAAATGAAAATCACATCTACACAGCAAATTTGAAGACTGAGGTGAATTCCACAGACTGAAAGAACTGACAACTGCCGAGAAGTCCATACCGGGCCATTAGAATGAGCAGCGCAAACTGCAACTGCTACCGTGCCTGTGCCTTTCAGGTTAAGAGGCCTCTAATTCTAAATGCTGTTTCCTCAATAAACTCATACTTCAGCCTTGAACCCAGCAGTTTTCCAAACAGGGTAATGCCTGATAAGACTCCATTACAGAAAATCTGCAACGTCTGCATAGCATAAAAACTGTATACAGCAATGCTTGTAAGTGACAATGCTGAAAATAGAGATAACCTATTTCCCAAAATCAGAGCCTCAGCTGTTTCTTCAGTTTCTCATACAGTAGGAATTAAATCCTATTATAACATCAATCAAGACTAAAATAAATTTAAAATCCAAAATACAATTTACTAAACATGTTACCTGTGTAGCTTCTGGTTGCACAGGAACCTGATTAGGCTGGGCGAGTCTTGACTCGGCATGAACTAAAGTAAAATAATTTCACTTATTACACAATGTGATCAAACCTTTTACAGAATAGCATAGCCATCTTATCTAATTCAGTTATTTGAGAGCCCATCATCATAAAGATGATTATACCTTTGGCACGACAAAGCTATACTCAAAATACCAATTACCATTTCCATGCAAATATTTTTTTTCCAGTTGTCCAAAATAATCCAGCAATTTCTGAAAGCCTAAGCAAAACTGCATTTTGTCCATTTAAAAGAGTTTGAAATGTTCCACACTCCGAAGCAAAATCTAGAAGTGAGAATTGGAAGCCTACAAACAGTACACTTCAAATGTGCAATCACATTTCTGAGAAAAAACACACTTTAACAGCACTGCATTATTACTTGTGATGACCCCTTAACTATGTAGCAGTAACTCAAGCCTTTCTAACAGCTGACTTGCAGGCTTCCCCAATATTTATGTTTAGGATTTACCATTACAAACCTGGAGGGCAAACCATTTGTGGCATGTCCAAATTCTGTGCTGGATTCATGGGCTGTGCAGATACAATGGCAGGATCAAGCGTTTGGTTCTCAAACTCCAGCATAGAGTCCTGGGGGGGGGGAAAATCACCAAACCAAATCCAATTAACTGTATTTTAAAAATCCTAACATTCAGAATACAGAAGTGACCGGGTCACAATAAAGGAAGCTTAGTCTGCAGCTACATAACTGCTGGGTTTACCATATATTTTACATCAATTAAGATACCAAAAATTCCAAAACGTGTTTATCACAATAAAAATTCTGTCCATGTATAAAAATCAGAGCTTATCTCACAAACAGTAACTGGAGGGAGATTTTAATAGCCAGACAGAATAGGCAGCCATCTATTCTTTATACTAAATTAGCACTTAGTAGGAAGAAACAAGAAAAAGAACATAAGATGCGTATGCCTCGTTACCAAGGTGTCTATTCTTTTCTTTGTGGAGGAGGAGAGGCTTTTTCTGATATATTCCGTTACCTCCCAATGCACTTCTAGTTGTTCTAACTTTAGAGGTTAAAGGAGTGCCTTCAAGAAGCGACCCAAAAAGCATTCTCTTCATGTGTTGTACAAGCTTTTCATAACACAAAATTTGGAGCTAGCTTACAGAAGGGGTATTTTACAGCTGGTCTCACTTAAGGAGAATACACTACAGCAGCCAGTGATGCGTAACTTTCTGCCTTCTCTATAGATGTAGTACAGATGAGGACTGAAAAGCTAAATAACATTCTAATTGTACTTTGACAGCAATACAGGTTTGCAGGCTTTGGATGAGATCTCACCATACTACACAGTCTGCAAGACCATTGTATTGATGGACTCTTTAAAACTGTGACTAGCAGCCAGAAAGTGCTATTTTCTTTCTTTGGTTCTAGCTTCACAGCACCACAGTAGGTTCATCATACCTGCATGAAGTTATATGGGCCCTGCATCTGCGCCATAAGGTCCTGTACTCGCTGTCTTCTAACAAGAGGATCTGCTTGAGCCACAGTAGTGAGCGTGTGAGGTTCGGGAACTGGAGGAGACGTAGCTTGTGTCTGTTGCTGCAGTGAATTTACAACCTAACAAGAAACAAGCAACCGACTGAAATTTCAGCTTAAGATAACAGTGCACAGAAGTGGCTCAGTAGTTCTTGAAATTTATGTCTATTGCCTAATTCCATTATGATCGTAATTACTACAGTGCTCTTGAAGAAAAATACTATGTCCTCCTGCAGTCATGCCAATACCGGTGGCCAGCTAGTGATCTGAGCACTTCATAGGAGGAGAAAGCTTAGAGACTGTGCTGTATTTACCTTCCATCCACTCTATTCCCCACTAAGAACAACGCTAACAAAAAATTCGTTCAATATTACGGTGATTTTTTTAGAGCAGGATTTGAGACAGCAATTTATCAACATTTGGAAATTTAAAGAAAGTCAAGGAAAAGTAAGTTTCAGAAATATGCACACATGGAAAACAATTCTTTTCTCGTACCTTTTTGGTAAACGTAGGTACAGTCAGAATTTTTTTATCTTTTTTAAGACTTAAAAATTTCAAATTTTCATAGCCACATCTAGACCCGAGTCCTCAAGCGTTATCCTAGCTAGCTGATTTATGGTCTCAGAGAACAGCAGGCAGCCTTGCGTGACGGGAAGATTGCAAGACAGCACGAAGGCGGGACACCAGAAACCCAGAAGCAGAAGCACAGCTTACAGTGGGCAAGAGAGCTCAAATTTACTAGACATATTCCAATATGGTGCACATAAACAAAGGCATGACAAACAGCAACATGCTTTCAAATACCACCTTATAAAAGACAGCAGAGCAACCAGGGAAGTCGAACACGAGCATCAAAAACCAAAGATCACCAAATAGCTTGAAAACAGATAGTTACAAGGACAGCTGAGCTGCACAAAGTAGCACTTTCTTATTCCTAACCAGTTTTGCTCTTTAGGCAACTCCCATAATACAGAAGTGCTATTTTCAATTTGCATTCAAGTCAACAACTGTCCTTTAAAAAGAAGATAACTGTCAGTAACTTGGCTATTGCTTCTCTATTCCCATGAGCTTTTCACTATTAGTATCTTCCAGATAAACAGGTAAGCCTTAAACTTACAGTGGCACAGGATGTAAGTTAGCATACATGCACCTGCAGTTCAAAATATTTATATAAAACATCTGGTTTCTCATTAGAACTGCAGTAGACAGATTTTTGTACAGCAGTCATGACGAGTGACAAAACAGTCCCATTTTAGACCAGTTCTATAGTCACAGGTCTGAACTTCAAACTTGAACTCCCTCTATCCACCCTCAAAGCCCGTAATTTTTTTTTCCAACTTCTCAAAGACTACAGCACTTTCCAGTATGCCTACTCCTTGCTTGGATTGACAAACATTGTTTGTATGTGACATTCTGCACACACAGCTGCCTCACAAACTCCAATGACTCTGTCCTTGACCAAATCCCTAGCCATGTGTAATAAAATTTTTTTAAAAATTAAAAAAAAACCAAACAAAACTAAAAAACAACCACAACCTGTGTTCCTCTTCAAGATTCCCTTCAGATCCAAATCTCCACTACTAGCCATCCAAAGAGAAGCAATGTGACAGTTCCCATGGAAGTATACCCTAAGGCTGTCCCCGCTGGAAAACAAGCACAACTGCTCTGCTGTATTACACTGTCCTCAAACTTCAAGTTATGGACTGTTTCCAGATTAAGAATTAAGACCCATGAGTGGAATTATTTGGTTTTTAACTGTTATTTAGAGCAAATATATAGACCTCTCTCACATTACAAAGCTTTAAAGTGAAAGTAAAGAAAAAAGCAAGCCAGATGACTAGGTAGAACTTGGGAGGTAAATCCAGCAGCTACTCATCTCCTACATAATTAGTATCAAAAATGTACTCAATTATTTGTGTACTATCACTCAACTTATTAAGTCCAAGTCACTCGTAACAATTCAGTATCTTCAAAAAAACCAAGTTGATGGAATAATCAAGAACACCAAACGGGCAAAATTTTTTCAAACATTTTCCTTTTTCACAAAAAGTACAGTACAAACTTCAGACAGCATTTAGTACTTTACATTGTCTTTTTCAAACCTCTTAATGTCAAAAGAACTCTTTAGGGTCTATTCCTTTAGTCTTACTATCACTACCAGGTACTTTGAGCTATTATAATCATAGTAAGATGAACCTACTAAAAAGGTTCAAAGTTTTGCATAGTAAGTTGCCAATGGACAGGCTGTAGTTCTAAAGTTAACAGCTTTCTAACAATCTGCTGCATTAAAAAAAAGAAAAGTATTGGGACTACTCAAGTATAGGGATCATTATTCAAAAATCAGATTATTACCCAACCATACATCTCCATTCATCCTGGGGGCATAGCAGCAAAATGAAACTTTTCTTTTAGGAGAGCTGAACCTCTCTGCGGAATAGGATTTGACTCCTCAAACTTCACGCTCACCTTCCGACATCCTGACTCCTGACACCCTGCACCTTGGCCTCCTCAGTATGCAGAGCTGCCCAGACACAATCAGAGGGGAATGACAGGATAGAGAAGGCCAGGGGGTAATGGAGGAGAGGTAAAACTCAGTTTCATGAGACCACAAACCAACCAGAATGAACTTGTATTCTGGCACTCACAGAACAGAGTTTCCAATTCTACACAAAATACACACATCCATCCAAAGTGCCATAATCTAAGACACAGAGAACTTTGTATACAAGCAGATTCAGGAACTTATGACAAAGGAAACAGTTCAAAAAAAAAAACAAAAAACCACACAACAAAAAAAACACCCCACCAAACAAAAAACCCACCACCACCAAAAAGCCCGTACAGAGAAAACCCCTACTATTACCAATAAAGGACATCTTCACCAAAATTAAAACATCATATAACCCAAATGCAAATACACTTCGAGAATTCACGATCAGATTGTTCAGTTTAAAACTTACGGAAGGCCCAAACATAAATGTAAACATACCATACCATCGAAATCCTGAAGGTATCACACCTACTTGATGGTTACTGAAAAAGTTTGTGATAGCCTTCCTCTTCATAAACGAGGCAAATCTTCTGCATAAGTGTTCTCTTTCAGAATGCTATCAGCTTCTGAAGTTAACAGCTATCATTCACAGATTTTATCATACTAATGCCACAACTACCTTGAGCTGAAGAGCACAAAGGCTCTACACAATGCATATCAGCACCTTCCCTAAGGACAATTCAGGAACGAGGAATGAGATTTTGGGGCCAGCAAGAACAGCAGGAGTCATTTCAAAGACAGTTATTCTCAATTTCCCCTTTTTGTTTTAGATCTGAGAAAATAAGGTTCTTAATTATGAAGAAGCAGTCTTCAACTTTAATTTTGTCTAAATAGCTCATCAGTATATAGTCCAAGAAATTGGGACAGAAAAAACTGGCGTATATATGTTTTGTACTGTTCTATGAAAACAAAGCTAATATAATCCAGATTTAGCTGACTAGTAAAGACATGGAAAATTAAGTTTCTGAAATCGATCCGATACAAAACTACAACCTGAATTACTTTCCCATACTAGTACAATTACTGCATATTGTTATTATTCCCATGAGGAAGCATCAGAGTTTTCAACTGTGCAATACACAGTCTTACAGTTTAAGAGCAGAGTGAATCACAACAGGCTTCAATCATAAGGACATTTCCTATACTCTCATGCCTTTATCCATACTACATACTAAGAACTACAGAGAACTGAACCTCTAAGCTACTCTGAACACTTGACAGAAACAGAGATGTAATTTGGGCATAATTCAAGACAGATCGAAGGCAATCAAGCATTAACTTTAAAATACCGTGTCTTGCAAGAATACCCCAATCAAGCATGACTTTAATATGTGGGGTTTGAGGGTTTCTTTGGTTTTAAGATTTTTCTTCAATCACATTCAATAGCAGTGACATTTCAGGGTTTTTTTAAGGGAATGGAATACTATGACAAGATATTAACAAAACCTTTCACATACATGGCAAAGTTGTCTAGCTAAATCTAGAAACCTCACACCCATCTTAATTATCATTAAATCTCTTGGTGGTCTTTAACACCCTAAGATATGAATTTCAGCCAGACTGAAAGTAAAAATCAGATAGATTAGATCATCAGATCAAAATGGCTGCTCTCTTTTTCACCACTTGAAGAGATAGTGAACACTTACTCCACACCTACACTTAGAAGAGTCTGAAGACACCAAGGAAGAGAGTCTAAAAAACTGACCATCTGTAATTTGCTGCTGCAGAAGGCTAATCTGCATCAAAAATTAAGTCTCTAGCACGTGAAAGATGCTGCTCATACCTATTCCTAACAGGTGGATACAACCCAAGTTCCAACATACCAAACACTTGAACAACTCCATGTGACTCCTCCTTTCTGGTTCGTGAAGAACACAAGTTCTCTTATAATAAAACGGACTTGTATGTGTAGTTAAGCCTAGAGCCTAAACTACTAAACTGGGAATGGCTCCCAATAGCCACATACCACAAACATCACAAGTGAACAATCACTCAACTGCCAAGTAGTAACAAGTTAAATACTTGAAGAACTATAGTTGTTGAAAGCAGAGACATACAAACAAGCATATTTTAACACCAAATTATGCGCATATGCAACCTGGAGTAAATATTAGTTGAGATACTAATTTTCAGCTCTCTCTCCATGGAACTGCTCAATGAAATGCACAACTATGCCATGCTGTCAAGCAGCTGTGTAGATAAATTTAAATTCTACATTTGCAGCAAAGTTCTCAAAAAAAAAAAAAGCCTTCAAAAAAAATCTTGTAAGTCTTTTTAAACCTAAGACTTCTAAGCCCCGTTTCCCAAGCAAGCCACTATTGAACAAAAGCAAGTTCTCCACCAACTTAGCCAGCGTGCGTAGTTTTTATTTTAGGTACTCCTGAGCTAAATATGAAATTGAAGAATGAGTAGCGAGTCCAAGCCTACTTAAATATATGTATTTTTATATATACTGGGGGAGAAGGGGTACAACACTAAAACCTAACGTGAATTGCGAGTCAGCGGAAACAGGGATTGCAATTTTACCTGCAGTACACAAGATCTTACCTCAACCGTTTCAACTGTCCACTCATCTACCTGTTCCTTCTCACTACTGCTGAACTGAGTCTCTGCCATGAATTGTCTGTTTACATACTAAAATAAAAATAAGAAAGGGTATGAAAGTAAAAGTAAATGGCATTAAAGCTATACAAAATGACAATCTTTCCAGTGAATAATACCTCAGTTGATTCAACTTCAGTTGGTTCAGTAAATTCTTCTGCTGGATCAGGTTCTGTAAGAAAAATATATCATTTATGTGGAGAGGAAAAAAAAAAAAACCCAACCCAAAAGACATGTTAAAAACCTAGAAGACACAAAGTTAGATGAAAAAATCTCCTCCAACAAAAGTGGAGTTTTGAAGAAGTGTAATGCAATTTTGCAGTCATCACTTATCAAAACCATTTACTTTAAAGAAGTGTTATAGACTTACTACACAGGAAGTACAGCTAGGTGCAAGAATGCATGGACACACTCTTACTCCTGAGTGACATTAATACCTAATATTAGAAGCTTGCTATACATTAAGGAAGGAGTCGCCTTGTCAGACATCTTCAAGGGGATTTAGATTAGATCTGAAATTACAGCCTCAATATTGCTGACTTGTACAGTTAAGTATCTGCTAGGTTCAGAAACAAACCTAATGTTAGAAGATAGATGAAGAGGAAACTTGTGTCTCAGAATGAAGAAAATAAAAACAGAACCTTAACAGAGTATTAAGTAATAACAAAGACTTCCAGTTTTGAATTAAAAAAAAAAAATCACATTGAATTCTTGCTATGGAGAGCTATGTTCAGTTACCCCAAGTTTCAATTTTCTCCACAACACATTCAAAAAGAAAAAAGATCATAAATTTTTTTTTCTTCACATTTGGAACGATATTCTTGAGTTTCTTAAGTATGTAAGCATACTCTTTGCTTCAAAAACTGTTCCCTTCCAACAAAATATTTAACTGGTGGGAACCACTGAAAAATGGAAAAGCCTCAGGCAACCAGAATTTTAATCTTTAATCATTTTAACTCTACAGACACACAAAATTTTGTTTATAAATCATAATGAGAAGTTCTATAGGAAAACAAATAAGAAGAGATGTTGGCAACAATATTCATTTGCATAAACCTGCTTAAAAATAATTTCATTGTCAGCCTGGGTTCTTATTTCAGCAAGTGACATACCGGACAGAAAAATGCCAGAAGATGTGTTCAAAAGCAAGTACTACTAAGCGACTTTGTTCCTTCATTCAGCTGACACTCCGCAGCTGGAACAGTAAACCTTTCCTTACGATGGAAGACATTAACCATGTGATCATTAGAAAGGATTATGGTCCCTCCAAAGAAGTAGCTGGCAAGAGTCAGCCTTACAGAACTCTTCTAGAACACAGCTCTGCTTTTCTTTCCTTGTGTCTCAGAGCAGGGCTGAACAAATGATTGACTGCCCCTGTATGTTCTCTGGCTAGATGTATACCCCATTATAAAGAAATGACAGTTCTATTCAAAACACTAGTATACCTGAAGAACTCAGAGACAGGTGCTTCTTTGTGCTTAAAACTGCATTTTGAATTTAATCATTCTGATGAATCCAAAGAGACGAGACAGTATAACACAAACAAACACCCTAGTGTCAGGGATCTTCATATTCTTACCAGCTTCTACTACAGTGTCTTCTACTGCAGGTGCGGGTGTTGCCTCTTCTTCCTCACACAATCCATTCTGATGGTTATGGGTGCTGTCAAAGTAACCAGTTTGAAGAATACGTTCAACAATCTCCTTTAGCGCTTTATCTAGGAAAACAGAAAAGTTAAAATTTAACAGAGACTCAATCCTAATCATCCTTTCCCTCCTTCCTGAGATCCCACAAAACTTTGATTAACCTTTTTCCGGGAAGATGTTGCTGCCCCAAGCTAGCCCACAGACACTACTGTTACAGAATTACTTCTGTCTTACTAGCTCATACTAAATCAAACAATAAATAATCAACCTACATTCACAAAAATCTGAAGGGCAAGGAGAATCTTGAGAGTATATAAGACTCCTCAGAGTGAGGTAGAGTTTATGAATTTAATTACCATACTTTTATTCCTGCTATTTCAAAAATCTCTGCTTGCTTAGTTTCAGTTTGGAAAGTTTTAGGAACTCAATGAGGTTTCAACTGTAACTGATTTATTTGTTATTTCCTAAATTAAAAAACCTTACTTAGAAGTCAATTTCTTGCAAAACAACTGTCAGTACAAACACATTTACACAGGTACCACCTTCACAAAGGCTCTTCCCTTGAGGTGAAGAGGCTCAGAACAGCCTTCGTAGGCAAAACAAGCACAAGCTTGCACTCAGTGCCTCAGATGGACACTGTGGTATCTTAACCCAAAACCAAATCACCCATGTTGGCCAGGCAGCATTACAAGTGTCTAGGCCAATCAAAACCAAAACAGATTCACAATGGAAGATTCACAATGCATGTCTGGCAAGTGATGAACACTGTACAAACCAATACATACACACAGAAGAGGAGAGAAATACACTAACTTTCATCCCTATTATAAGACAAAGCAAACCAGCAATGGCTGCCAATGACATCACTAAAAGCTCAGCCTGAAATCCAGATAGAAAACCCAGCCCAACTTTTTCAGTCAGAGAATGACTAGGTCTCTAAGAATTATACATCAGCTCTCTCCTGAAAACTATCCCCAAACCTTCTCCTTCCTCCAACTCTAAAAAACCCCCCCAAAAAACCCCCAAAAAACGCCTAAGCAAAAAAACCCCAGCCCTCCCCCCAACCAAAACCAACCAAACAAAAAAATGCAAATGTGGTACACATCTTTGGGCTCTTATAAAGATCTAACACCACACCATTTCAGACTTGAGTTCTTGCACAAAACATATTAAAAAAAATACTAAGCTGGCACCACCTCACAAAATCTAATTTCAACAATGTAAAGAATTTGAAGTTTCCTATTCTGCCACAAACAAGGAAAATCTTATCACCACTAAGGCCACAATATCTTCCAATGTCCTGTGTACCATTCCTCAGTAACGCAGATTAGATAACAATTGCAATACTATCATTCCACTTCCTATGAATAGAACACGAAAAACTCAACAGCTTAATTTTACTGTAATATAAGGACAACTGACTTTTTTTTTAAAAAGGGGGAAAGCTGTTAGCCATTTTACCTACAAAATTTTACCTTTCCTATTGATTTCCAATTAAAAGACTTCAAAAATTCCCCATGATACAAGAAACATATTGTCTAGCAGAGCCATTTTCTTAAGGTCTAATGTTAGAAGCTGCGTATTCATGAAAATGTACATTTCTGCAAGAAAGCAATACATCTGAAGGATCACACCCCGATTTACAGAGTTAATCAATCAAAACAGGGCAAAACCAGAAAGCTTTTTTGCAGGAGATGAGGGGGAGCAGAACATCACACTAAATAAGGCCATGCCAGTTTATAGATTAGGTCATATTATTGACAAAAGCTCCTTGTTCACTCTTTTCCAGAAAACAAAGAATTGCTACTAAGCACCACCAGCAGCAGACT